GGCTACGGCCCACGACTTGGCAGTCTGCAGCACGTTCTTCGCGAAAAGGAAGTCTCAAAAGGTAACCTACAGCAGTGGAGGGAGACAGACGGAAATCGACCATGTGCTGGTAAGAAGATCAACCCTCAAAACTGTGAAGGATATCAAAGTTCTACCCGGCGAAGATCTGGCTCCCCAGCACAGGCCCTCCTGGCAGACATTGCGATAGACCTCCCCAAGAAGACAAGGGTAAGAACCGAGAGGAGAATCCGGTGGTGGAAGCTGCACCAAGCGGAGAAGGGTGACCTCAGGCGAAAGATAATGGAAGTCGGTCTCCCAGATCCTAACGGGCCAGTACAATGGACTTGGGGCAACGCGGCTGAGACCATCCTGCGATGTGCCAAGGAGGTCCTGGGTGAGACGCGAGGTGGACTTCAGAGGAGACAAGGCAGCGTGGTTCTGGAACGAGGAGGTCCAGCGAGTCGTGAAGAGGAAGAAGGAAGCATACAAACGCTGGCAGAAGAGCCGAAGTCCCGAGAACTTCGCTGCCTACAAAACCTGCAAGAGGCTTGCGAAGGCTGCCGTCGCAAGGGCAAAGAACACAGAAATGGACGCCTTGTACGAGAAGTTGGAGAGCAGAAACGCAGAGAAGTTCGTCTTCAGGCTGGCTAAGGCCCGGCATCGTGCTACCCAAGACATCAGGGTGGTGAAAAGTGTGAAAGGCAGCGATGGTGTCATCCTAAGGAAGCCAGCCGAAGTCAAGAGGAGGTGGGAAGAGTACTACAGGGCACTTCTGAACGAGGAGTTCCCCCACGAGAACAACTCACGGGCAGAGGCCACAGCTGGTCCCATCGCACTCTGGACTGAGGATGAGGTTAGGTGTGCACTTGGGAGGATGAAGGTTGGGAAGGCGGTTGGCCCAGATGGGGTGCCAATCGAGGCTTGGAAGGCGCTCGGTGAGTACGGGATAAGATGGCTCACACGATTCCTCAACAACATAACTGCGGAAGGAAGGATGCCAGATGCCTGGAGAACAAGCACTATCGTCCCCATCTTCAAGCAGAAGGGTGACGCGATGGACTGCTCCAACTACCGCGGGATCAAGTTGACTGCTCATACAATGAAGCTGTACGAGCGACTGGTCGACTCGAGACTGCGGGAGCTGGTCCCCATCTCCCAGGAACAGTTCGGGTTCATGCCCGAAAGGTCTACGACGGATGCCATCTTCATCGCAAGACAAGTGATGGAGAAGTATCGAGAAAAGCGCCGACCCTGTTACCTAGCCTTCCTCGACCTGGAGAAGGCGTTCGACCGGCTACCACGAGCGGTACTGTGGAGAGCGCTCAGGAACGGAACGTGCCAGAACACCTGGTCTCGCTGGTGAAGGACATGTACGACGGGGCTAAGGCAGCCATACGCACCCCACATGGGCCTAACAAAAGAGGTAAACATCACGGTTGGGGTGCATCAAGGGTCAGCTCTGAGCCCGTTCCTCTTCCTCCTAACACTAGATGTCATGGTGAAGGGGCTCATGGAAGGACCACTAAAGACCATCCTCTACGCTGACGACATCGCCCTGATAGCGGATAGCAGAGAGAACTACAGGCCAAGGTGCAGAAATGGCAGAAGGTCCTGGCAGAAGGGGGGCTCCGGCTGAATGTCAAGAAGACCAAGTTCCTGAGTTCTGAAGAGAGTGCAGAGCCGATCGTGGATGGACATGGCGAAAGCATCGAAAGAGTGGAGGACTTCCGATACCTTGGGAGTGATCTGGCGGCCGACGGCAGTGTGGACCAGGCAGTAAAGGGGAGGATCAACGCGGCATGGATGAAATGGAGGGAATCCACTGGAATCCTCTGCGACCGAAGGTGCTCTAGAACGCTCAAAGGGAAGGTGTACCGAACAGTGGTAAGGCCTGCGATGCTCTACGGCTGCGAGTGCTGGCCCCTGAACAAGAACCACGAAAGGCAGCTTCACTCGGCCGAAATGAGGATGCTGAGATGGGCCTGCGGCTGGACGCGACTGGACAGGGTCAGGAACGAGGATGTCAGAACGGTCATGCAGACTGCCCCTGTCCAGCTGAAGGTGAGGGAGCAGCGACTGCGGTGGTATGGGCATGTGCTAAGAAGACCACAAGGCCACCCAATAAGGAATGCAATGGACTTCGAAGCGCAAGGCAAGCGACCGCGAGGAGCCCCAAAGAAGAGGTGGAAGGACGTAGTCAAGAAGGACCTAAGCGAAATCATGGCCACTGCAGGGGATGCCCTGGACAGAGCGAAGTGGCGACGACTGATAAGAACAGCGGACCCTGCGACGGCGCGGGACTAACGCTAGGGAGAAGAAGAAGAAGAACGTGGATCCATACCTCCAGGCATTTCTCGTCGCAAAACATTCGACCTTCGCCCATTGCTCCAATGGTCCGTGGAGATTCCTTGGAATCAAGCTCGAAATGATAACAAGTTTTTTTGCATGGCCGCTCAGGAAAAAAGAATGAAAAGACTGTAAAAGCTCTCCTGCTGGTTTGATCAAGAATTTAGGGGAATTATGGAAATAACAAGCATTTCATCAAAGCCGCCGCTCGGAATAAATTAGAGTTCTTCCTTCGCCTTTAATCTTTGCTGGTGCTTGGTAAGTAGTGAAGAGCTTGCCAAGTTCGCTCTCAAGCGGAAAGTGAAAATGGCAGTGTTCTGGAAAGAAACCGTGACAGAAACCGGGGACATTTTTTGCGAGGAAAGGGTAGCCAAGCCAAGGTTTGCTTGGCTGGCTGTATCATTAGGAGACGCACTGTAGATCTGATGAGCGATCACGGTAGGCAATACAACACCCTACGGTATCAACTACACACCTATAGATGGGCTGCTTGAAACTGAAATTAGTTGTAAGTTGCTCTGCGCCTGTTGAGTTTGAATATTCTTTGCTAGCTCTCAGAAAGAAGAAGTGATTTCAATTTATATTCTCCTAATTTTTATATCATATGGCCGTTCTTTACAGGCTAGATGTGTTCCTTTCATGAGTTTCAATGAATAATAGGAACCTGATAGTTTTTCAAAATGTTGTGTGAAAGTCTGAAAATCATAACAGAAAACTGTAGTCATATGTCATGCGTAATGATCGACTTTTTCTAAACTCAGTCGCTTGCATCAATTTGAAAGAGTACTGAAGCCGTCCGTTCTGGCACTCGTTCTTGATTTCTTACTATTAGACCTATAACGAGCGCAAACATATTTGTAGCCTTGAAGAGCAACCAAGTTCACGACTTGGTGGCTACTAATTTTTGATTACTCTAGGAATTAACCGGATATATTGCACTGCAGACTACACCTTTTTACGGCCCATTTCAAGGCTGACTTCCGTAGCCATTACTTTGAAGGTTATGATTACGACAGCTTTTAGGGGGTTTACAAGGTACCTGAGGGTGCTTAATGGTACGCCAACGGCAAAAAACATATCTCTCATGAAAACACGAAAAGGGGACTCCTTTTTTGGCCGCTGATCTTCGCTCAAGGACGGGTAGCGGCAAGACGGCGGACGTATGGACGAGTTCATCGCAACGCGTTTGGTGGCACCATGCCAATCCATGCTCCAGTCGAGTTGCTCCAGTTGTGCCGCTGCTGGCAACACAGCTCGTCCAAATCACCAACTAAACTAGTGGGCGGATCGCTTTTGGGGCGGAGTGCTTTCGAAGTCCTGCAGCAACCAGCGCACCTTTCGTCGTGAAAGCGCCACACCTCGCTTCCTTGGCAGCCAAGTAACTGCTTCGTGTGCCGCATATATTTCCCCAATACACTCCCTCCTTTGACAATTATTCCGCCTTGAATAGTGGTTTCCTTGATGTCATACACACGGCTTCTTCCGTGAACCACTTGTGTCCTCACATACCTATGCACGTCGGGTCGACCGTCGGGGCCCCATCTCCTCCACAACATTCAGCATATGGCCCCAGCAGAAACGCCAAAAAGGCTGGTTTGCTTACTTCGTTAAATAGTGCCAGTAGTTCCTGAACGCCGACATCTATGGTTTCTGCCAATTTGGTGCCAAATGGGTGTAAACAGTGCCAAATGGCTCCGACTCCAAAAAGGATGCCATATTCGTAACCTCCCCCTTCAAAAAGCGAGAAAGTGTCGGGTGCAGACCAAACACCACAACTGACGACGGCCTCCAAGTAAATCTGGTTAGAAGTTGTTCATAGTGATAGCTGATTTCTGGTAAATGATAGTTGTAATTAGTGACAATCGATAGAATACAACTGCAACAGGCTAATCATTTCATTGGCAGAAAACATTAACATTTTGTGAAGGCCGTCGTCACTTGTGGTGCATGGTCTGCACCCGACACTTTCTCGCTTTTTGAAGGGGAGGGTAATTACTACACTGAGTTACCATTTTATGCAAGTTCCAAGCAGATTCGGTTTAAGGAAAAGCTATCGCGCCGAATTGGCGCCAAGCGGTTCAGCGCCACAAGTGAGTGCCCTATTCTGGGTCATGACCGCGTATAAGCTCTGCAGTGAAAACTTCGTGAAAACTATCTTCTGCCCATCATTGCTCTCGGTGGGCCAGCATTAGTGCTGCAGCGCTGCTTCCCAGTACGTTGAATTTGAAATCATTTGTGAGCCTGATACAAAGCCTCATCCAGTAAAGGGTGGGAGGGGCATGTTTTGCGACAATTCATATCCCCTCAAGCAATCCATTCTTTTGCAGAAGGAGGAAACTCTGGATTGGAGCGTGGAACGAAACAGCCCACCCCGGGGAGTTCTTCTTCGCGCAAAAATTGGAACTCATGTAGGCGGCAGCAACTGTCGCACCCCTTTCCCCTTCCTTACTGAAGCGGTTCTATACTGCTCATTTCTTCTTCATAAAATACCTACAATTCGTCCACAACGTCACTTCAATGAGAATATATCTCACGTAAATTCATACCGAATAACGAGCGTTACGGTGGTGTGTGAGCGAGATGGTTGGTCCTACAACGAATGACAACTCTCCAAACCAATCCTGCGACTTACTACGTAGAACCATTTCGCCCCAATGGCACCACGTGGTAATAATTCTCTCAACGTCATCACGCGAAAGTTCATCGAATGGATAATTCGAGGCGATACAGTGAATCTCAACGAAGCCGCCGCAATACTTCGCGTTTCCAAGCGCCGGCTCTACGACGTTGTCAACGTTCTCGAAGGCATCGGTGTTCTGGAAAAATGCGGCATGAATCAGGTACGATGGAGTGATCTCAGAGATAGAACTCGCTCATCAGATCTCTACTCTCAATGTGCGAATTTACGTCAACTCGAAGTTGAGATTGACATGAGCGTCCGTGGGTTGGTATCTGCACTAAAGTGTGTCGAGATGGATACCGCAGCCAGTCAATACGCCTACGTACGGCTTGAAGATCTGCGATCATCCCAAATGTTCACAGACAAGACTTTGATTGTTGTAAAAAGTTCCACTCAAAGAGACATTAAGACATCTCTCAGCCAACCGATGAACTCTTTGCTGAGTCAAGTGAAGTTTGAAACCAGTGGAAGAACTACGCTTCAAGGCTTCATTTCTCCTGCTGGTTCTTATGTGCACTCAGATTTCGAGCAACATTTGTTCGGAAATGGATGTCCCAATTTCCTCACTGATAGAGCACTTTCGACACCTGGGATTGACGTCGTGATCAAGCAAGAATCTTGCCATTCGGAGGACTGGAAAGTAAGTTTCTTCATTATTTTGGTTTGATGTTCTCAATATTGCGGTACTCACAAGTTCGAGGTGCTAATTTAGTTGGGGGGGGGGGACCACGCGGCGCGCGGCTCTGTTCGTCTGCTCCTCCAAGGCTTAGTCCCAGGGCAGTTACTATTTCGCCATCACGTGGCAGTTTCGAAATACGCGCCATCGGGACTAAGCCTTGCAGGCAGACGAACAGAGCGCCGCGCCGCCGCGTGGTTCCCCCTCCCGACTAAGTTAGCAACAAGTTCGATTATACTGTGCGTTTTGGTCCTCGCAAATTCGCCAATTCCGCAAGGTCAAAATGCCGAGTGAAGAAGCCAGATATATGCGGTTTCCAAGCCATTTCCATCCGTACTCTCAGTTTTTTCACCGTATGAGACAGCTCGCATTCTTTATCATAAAACGCGAAAAATGGTCTGGCTTAGCCATAGTGACCGAGTGGGTAAGCACCGCACCGTGCGCCGCTACTTAAGCTCCACGATCAATACTCGCTAAGGCCGATGTCAGACTTTGCGAATCGCGCGATTCGCAAAGTCTGACATCAGCCTAATCGGGACGTCGAAAGTACTTCTGAACCGTTTTTTTTTTCGCTGTTCTGCTTTTTCATTCGTTTTTATCGTTGCTTTTTTTAACATGACCGACTCTGGTGGCTTGGGCCGTGAGGCAACGAGGAATAACCGGGCACGCCGCAGTTTGTGTGGGAATGCGTTGCAGGGCATTGTAACGGATTTGTTTTGCAATCACAACTAAAGGCACAATTCAGGCAGAAGTCGCGTGAACGATTTCCTCTGATCTGTAGGATAGACTACTGAAGGACAATCACACATGTGGCACTCCGTGCATGGAAATCACCGACAAGAGCGCTAGGGCTTGCAAAGTAAGCTGCAGCAGCTGCAATGTTTTAGGCTGTTGTCTGGCGCCCTCTCATCTGTTGCGCTCTCTCGCCTCATACTCTCCTCTCCGCGCTTAGTCTCTCATTGCCTTAGCACAGCCGCATTACGAAGTGAGCAAGCCTTAACCTAAGCGTTTCAACTTTTTTCTTTACTGCCGGTACACTTCGCGCCAATACCTTCGCATCCGTGTGCAAAAACCACACCAGTTTGATCCTGGTTCATGCCTTTACTGGAGGATATGCAAAATATCAGAGCATATTTCTAGTTAACACCTTGACGACAGCGCGGCAACTATGTATGCCGCCATTTTTGCACCTCATGGACATTGTGGCAACTATGTATGCCACACCCATTACATTTATTTTTTGCGCACATGCCCGATTTCTTCCCAAGTTTTTTGTGTTCATTTTATAGGCCATACATCAACATAACCAAGAACCACGTGGCTTACAGAATGACCAAATATTCTTTAGTTTGGCAGAGGTTTTCCGGACCTTACGAAAATATCCGTTCAGTTCATTCCTCGTTTTCTTTTCATTAACGTAAACATGTTGATAAAAAGGAATAATAGAAGTGAATACAAACCTATTCGTATGGGAAGATATGTGTTTTTACTGAAACAACCACGTCCAAATTAATTTTGGAACCACTAAAGGAAAGTAAGTAAAATTTGCCTTTTCATGGCCTTAACACGTCATTTCGGTCGAACTTCCATTACTGTAACTCCCGATAAGCTAGACAGATCGAACATCATTGAAAACAGTT